CCCCCCCCCCAGCATCATAAAACAAGTCACAAGACAGGGACAAGGAATCAGGAGGCCTTTCAGGCTCTACCACTAGCCCCCAGGTCACCCGGGCTGGACCCAGATGTCACTGGCCCCATGATCTCCACCCATGGCAGGGCCTCAGTCCCTTCAAAGGCCTCTCTGTTATTTCCACCCACGGCAAGCTGCCTGCAAATCTGTCTGAGCTGCGTCTCCAGGCAGCATCTGCTTGCATCTACTCTGCCTTCCTCTCCTGCTCTGGCCCCTGCCCACCTGTCCACTGCCCATGGAGCCATTTGGAGATGCTCCTCCTACCGACACCCATGAATATGCCAGGGCCCTAGTCCAGGTGCAGCCTCCAGACTGTCCCCTATCTTCTGGTGCCAGGTGGTTCATGGGGGAGGAGTCTGCACCCCAGCCCTGGGCCACACTACCCCTGGACCCGAGTGTCACAAAGCATCCTGTGACATGGGGCCCTGTATCTAGCCTGTTGTACTGACCTGCCGGCCTCTCTCCCGTTGCCAGAGTTCAGGCCCCAGCCACTCTGAGGCCAGAGCAGGACAGTGTTTTCCCAAACGCTGGTTTCCCGATAGGGAACGATGAGATCAGTTCGGGAGGTCCTGACCCGTTTTTTTGAGTAGAATAGAGAATAATGGAGTTCCTTACACTGAGTAAAGGCAGGTGTTCGACATGCATACGCATGCGTGCTATATTCACCCGTGGGCGTCCGCGGGCGGTCTGACAGCGCTGCTTTCGCCGGGTGTGTGGGGGCCTGGTCGGCTATGCTGCAGAGCAGGCAGCCCCTGTGCGCTCAGCCCTCTTCCTCCTAAGGCGGGCCATTTGCTTCGCCTGTGCAGAACCGGAAAGCCACTGAAGTGATTTTCCCCAAACCAAAGAGCCGGGCCCTGAACGGCCAGTGCCAGCCTTCATGCCTAGAGAAACGGAGCCCATGCCCACAGCTCGGCCCTGCGGGTTTCCCACCTCTAGCCATAAATTCTTCAAAAGCGCCGCCATTCAATCCCTGCCAGAGCTCCCTGTCGCAGGCATTATGGTCCTTCTAGCTGAGGTTTACCATATCTGTGTTTTTAAAATGTTTTCCCCCCGGGACATTCTTGGGCCCAGGTCCCCTGAACACATAGAAATTATGCCTTGGCACTGCCCTGGACCAGGTGGAAAAGGAAGGGCTCTGAGTGAAGGAGCGGAGGGGGGGGAGGGCTTAGGGCTGAGGGGCTCAGAGGCACTGGTGAGGACAGTCGCCTCCTCTGGATCCTGGTGGAGGTGGCATCAAGGGGTGTGTGGGGCCCGGGATTGACTGGGAGGAGGGGCTGGGTGTGTGATCAGGCAGCCGGGGCTCTGCTGCCTCCACTCTCGGTGCTGTCACTCAGCCTCCCCTTCCTGCGCAGCTGTCCTCATGGACCAGGTACTGGGTCATTCTCTCAGGATCCACCCTCCTGTACTATGGAGCCAAGTCCTTGCGGGGCACAGACAGAAAACACGTAAGTCCGCGAAAGGCCTCTCCGTGCGGGGACTTCACCTCTTGTCAACAGCAGGG